GGAGATATGCACATTAAACCTATTAGAGGCGGGACACGCCACTTTAAATTTTTAACTGCAGATGCCCTCCTAATGTGATCCTGTGTACCAATAACAGTCTTGTATCTTATTGCGGAGCTTAGTTATGCAATTATTTGTTTTGATTAATGGCGTTTGTGGGCGTGGCAGTGGTCCGATTACGCCCATCTGCAATACAACCGTCTCACGGTACCATGAAACATGTCTACAAGTTTCATAAAGATATCTCAATTTTACTCAAGTTAGAGCTTCGACGACGGACGGACGGACGAGACGGACAGACGGACAGACAGACATCACCCGGATTTCAACTCGTCTCTTCATCCTGATCATTTATATATATATAACCCTATATCTAACTCGATTAATTTTAGGTGATACAAACAACCGTTAGGTGAACAAAACTATTATACTCTGTAGCAACAGGTTGCGAGAGTATAAAAATTTTTCAATATGTCATTTACCACTAAGATCCAGAGTAGACAGAACCCACCTTGCGGGGTGCCTCCAATGGTTCCCTTGGCATTTCTAAGTTCTCAGAGGACATTAGCCTTCAAGGAACGTTTGCACGCAACATGAAGACTTCAACATACTCATCTATCGCGGTGGCTATGACCACTGAGTCGCAACCTGGCGCGATCGAAAGAGCTAATCGAAGTTTCCTGCAGTACTGATCCCAATCCGTGTTTGTGAAATTCATAAAAGGTTTACTAGTAGACTGGTAAAGCTAATATACAGTGAACCAAAATCAAAAACTTTTACAGAGAGATGTGCCGACTTTGAAGGGAATATCTCTTAAAATATTTCAGCTTTAAGCTGCAACCAGAACAACAATAAGTGAATCTCATGTGGTTTTGATTTTTGTACAAATTTTTATACTAAATCAATTCTGATGTTAACCATTGCAAAGATTAAATTATTCAATTTTTGAGCGGCCAAAAATTACGTTGGCAACACTTTAAACGCGGTTATCCGTATGTACCGTTATTTTGTATAGTATTAGTGGCGTATGGTCAGACGCTGGTAGTCAAATATTGGCAGGAGAGCAAAAATACTCGCGAAATAGTAGACTCAAAAAGACTTGTGGCGTTGAAAACTTGATGTAGTGGAACGCAAAGAAAAATTGTCACGCCCTAAGCTGAGAGTAAAGTTGATCGGGTATCAGCAACATTCCAAAATATCCGCTGTTGCTAATGCCAAGGAGTTGGGAGGAAGCTTACATTGCAAAACTCCACCCTCAAACTTTTCGGAACTTCTTGTTTCACCCGATTTAGAGCGTATACACCTCGAAACAAGCCACAATTATCGAGTAGAAATATTGCGAAACGTTACTATATTCCAAAGAGTATATCCACCGTGATAACCGAATTTGTGATTCTGTAATTTTTACTGATGAAATTTAATTTATTTGGATATGATCGATTTGTTGTATGGCGTAGTTAAGCGCTAAAGATAAAATTTAAATAAGACAGTCAGCATGAGAAGACTACATTTGTGGTGTGTGGTGCAACGTGGTCCACCTCTTCGTCATGAGGCCTCGTTGCTGAAATGTGGTAGGAAAAAAACATTAAGTTAGTTTCTGACCAATAAACAAGCTCTGGTTCTACCTGTGATATTGGCGACACCAGCCTTTTGCCTTTAACCCAGAGATGCTTAATTAAGACAACGTCAGCTCCGTTTTTCAAAGACGAAGCAAGAAATTGGCAGAGGCCACCTTTGCAGATGAATCAGAAAGACCTTCATTCTTCCATAGCCCGTCGGCCGACGATCCGCCTTCAGCACTCACCACTTATGTCCATTCAGACATCGCTCCCTTTTCTACGTCACTCCTGGTCTGTAGGTCACTCATCTGGCGTCTTTTGGTAGGATCCGTAGAATCATCCTCTCGAAGCCATAATTTATGGCCTCTTGATCACGCTAAGAGGACTGATGAACTCCTTATATAGGAGTGTCAGCACTTGCCGATAAGGTTCCTCAGTCTTCTCCAGTCTGATCACTCTTAGTCGTGAGTGAGCCAAAAAGGATTGCAGTATCGCAGCATCTCTTCAATTTCTTTAGGGGTGGAGGGTTCGGCGGGGAACCAGACGAGACCTCGAGGGCGTAGTGGTAGATCCACTTTGCCACCGCTTCCAGTTTAGTTCACTTCCAAATTTCCCCTCCTGCGGACAGCTTCTATGTAAACGGATACCGACCATTCATCGGTACACCTTATCAGCTTATGCAGGCCGTGGTGCTATCCGGCACTTTCTCAGCCGGAGGAGACCTGGAACTCCTTTCCACCTTTATGAATACTACAGATATAACTACCGCTCCCACTTCCACTCATCATGAGAGATGGCTCCATCCTACCTGCTGCGGTTAAACATCTTATGTTCAATGGAGTCTGCAAGTTTAGTGATTTCGCTAAACGTTGATGCCGCGCCTGCTCCTGGCTTCTGTCAAGGGAGACTTACCTCTTATGCGACCTCTGTAGCTTTAAAGCAGATTGGGTATCGGCTGATCCGCTCTGTTTTCATCTACGTCGCACAGCGCTATCTTGGGCCACTCCAGTGTGTTCAGATCCCCGTCCAGCATTCTTGCCTCCTAGTGATTAAGATTTTAGTTGATAAGCGACGATCCGATTTCAGCTTTTCTGCTGCGGTTACGTGTTTTTTCGATACCCTTGGCACTTGGCTGGGCATCAGAACCCCATGATCTTAGCAGAGGTTCCTTCACTGGTGCTGGTGATTCTGTCTGGCACCGTGACTTTACCTTCCACACCAACCTAATGATTACGGGAGGAACGTACTCTGAGGCTTACCAGATGAACAAATGTCACCCAATTTATTGGGAGCATACAGAATTGGTTTCATAACCACTAGAGCTCAATAATAGTATAAAGGAAAATGCGTGGGCAGAATTGTAGAAGTTATTATTATTGTCTCAGGTGACCGAATGGTTACGCTAAAATACCGCCGATCGAAGTACGTAAAACGATGTCCTTGTCTGATCGAGTGAACGTTACATTTTTGTTCAATGTTTAATTTAAGGTTGTTGCGCGTCTGATTTTCAGAGTAAGATGAAGAAGTTGCGGAACCATCCTTTTGTTAGGTTGTGGTGTTAAGGCACTGTGTTGTGTTGTCCTACGTGGTGATGTTCGATTGTGGTGTCTTGTAATAGGGTGCCCCAGTTTTCATTTATACATCCTGGGCCCCTCGGCGAATATTGTGCCTACTACACATAAGAATATATGCTGTGTGTTTCGGCGTACTGCTAGGCGGCTGCAAATGAGTAGCCGAGGGCGTGGCATGCATGTTAATGGAGTGTAAGATATCCATATTTATCTGTATGCTTAGGAAACCACTTTTGTTTAAAATTATGTAATGTATCTGGTTATGATAGTTGATGGTCAACATGCCCGGGGTTAGGGTGGTGAAATAGAAGGATCTGGCTACAGTGATTGGCCGTGATTTGAAAACGGCTTATCTCTCTCTCTGGCTTATCCATGGTGTCGTTTTCACCGGCTCTGAATCGTCGAAACCATTCCTCCGCGGTTTGAAGTGATTATGAGTGATGAGTACCATCCCCCAAAATATCATTAATCTCACGGAACGTTTCTCTAGCAGATTTGCCTTTAACGAAGGAAAACTTTAAAATAGCGCGAATTTCGGCGTTAGTGAACTCCATGTTTACACGTCTATAACTGTTGAACGCAATATCCAAACTAATCATGCATAGCGTTGTTTTGTAGGTTATGTCAAGACCTTTCAAATTATGTATAGTGTTGCCAGATACGAGCTCTGTAGCGCTTTGTACATAGCCGCGAAATTCAAAAGACAAAAAGCGAAAGGGAGATATTTGACAACCTTATATTTGGCGTTTCCCAGGAAGCACCACGCCGAGGCGAACCTGGTTTACATTTCATTGAATACCTCAGTTGATCAAGTTCTGTAGTTACGAATTATAACTCGAAATTTACTTTAAAACTGAGTGCGCCGCCTCTAGGTGTTAAAATTTTTTTTTTCTTTTGTCCAAAAATTTTCTTTTTTTTTTTTATAATCTACAGATTGTTGGTTGTCTGGGGGGTAAGGCTAAGCAAAAAAAATTTTTTTTTTCGTTCCGCCCTATTGGGCAACGACCAGAGTTTAGAATCATTGACAGTGGGTGGATTATTTGATCTTTTGGCCAAATTTGTATTACGAATACTTTGAAGCTCCCTAGAGTCAATACATCCCCTGTGGTTTGTCGGATGACTTTCGCCCAGTTACAGCATTTTGGTTTTTCGGATATTGGTTTTTGGCACTCTATCGTTTTGCGCTTATTTTGAGAGATTTTTAATCATAACCTTTATGGGGCGTGTTTGTTTGTCTTCGTAGGAATACCAAGATGCAGTCAACATTTTTGTCACCGATCTATATTCATCACTTGATGTGACGCTTACTTTACTATTGATGTTGTTATTTAAAAATTTTATGACAATATGGTTATTTAGTTCTTGATAATTATTGATATTTGAAATTAAAATGGGCGGAGGGCGAGGTTCGTACTTCGGTTTATTATTTTTAGATCCCTGCTTTTCAGAACTCGATGACGACGCATTTTATTTTCTGATCACCACCGAAGAAACTTCAGCTTTACGATTTTTACAAGGCATTTTGTTTTTCTTTTAAATTCACACTGTTTCCAGAACCAACTATTTTCGGTTGGCTTGCTGTTTCCTGACTCCCCTCCCGGTAGCGGAGTGCGAATCATGATCCTCATGTATCTTAAATTACTTTATATGTTAAATAAATTATTTTAGATTTCCGATTGCAATGACAACTCTGCCTTCTTAATAGCTATAGCAAATAATTTTTTTACGATATACTTCTAGGGTGCTATAATTTAAAGTGGTTTATGAATTGAATGAATAAGATAAGATAAAATAAAATAAGTTAAGTGTGTGAATACTACACTCGTTTGCACTCACCGTTTTAAATGTGTTTGGTGCTAGCACAAAAAATGAAAATAGATTCGAAATCTTATGTAGGTTATCCGGCGTTATCCGCTATGTTTATTAAAACAAATGTAAAAAATATAGATCACAAAATTCCAATGAATATCTGGATAATCGGGCGAAAAGTTACTACGGTCGGCGTACGTCTGAACAGCTCGAGTTGCGAACGAAAAAGCAAGGATTTGGTCCTGTGTTAGTCCCTTTTGAATGTTGGGTTGTGTAGAGTTGTGGTGTGATGTGATGTCTGTGTGGTGTGCGTTTGTGTGTTAATGGGTGGATTCTTGTGGATTGTGGTGTATTTCGCTCAGTGGCGTGTCTGGAAGGGGGAGGAGTAGCTCTTCTAGCCATCCCGGCCCTCCTAGGCGAATTCTAGCCTAGAAACCGCTGTAGTTGTTGCAGCGTGGCAACAACGCTGCTGAGGCCAGTGGAGCGGCGGTATTTTGGCCTGGGCTGCCGACGCCGCGTTGATGCCTCCTGTCGCCTCGGTCTGGATGGATGTGGAGCTTCTGGTCTTCTGAGGCGATCCGGATGGCTCCTCTGATGCGATCTGCGGCTTGGGGCGAGTTGTTGCACAGTTGCCAAAGCGTAACGGACGTACACTCCGGAGTCGTGTGGACCGTAGCCAAAAAATTGAGGTAGTGCCCGTGAGCTTGGGCAACCTGCTGACGTTGGAGGGCTGCATATCTCGAAAAATGCCGCAGTGTTGCAGCCGGTGTGTGCGTCGACTCAGTGGGCATCGGCTGCGTTGAGGTACCGTTACTGGTGCTGATGAAGGTGGTACTGGTCGCGGGCCACTATCGGGAGCGGTTGCAGGAACGATTGCCGCTGCGGTTCGTGGTGCTGGAGTTGCCCCAGGGCGCGGCACATAGATGTCGGACCTCACAACTGGCGTTGGTGTTGCTGCCATATCTACATCCATATTTATCTGTATGAAGAAGTTAGAATAGTTATACATTTGTGGCATGTCAATTTATGGCGAATGTGCCACTGTATGTGGCAGGAATGGATCGTCAACTTGGTCGATCATTGTCGTTAGAACAATTAGCTTTTACAACGGTTTTGTCATTTGCGGGTTTATCGGTTTGTTATATGATTAATTCATTTGCGTTGCGGTAATATCGGCGGATTGTTCGTTATTTGCGGTTTCGTCTTTAGATGCGGTTGGCAGAAAACATAATTTCACGAGTGGTCTTGTTGGCGTTCCGCTTTGAGTACAGAGAACAACTATTCGTATATGACCGTCGGAACCGTAATATAGTTTTTCTATGCGTCCAAGCCGCCATTATGTGGGGGGTAGACAATCATCGTGTATGACACAGTCTCCAAGCTTTGGTGCCTTTTCGGAAGTTTTCCATCGGTACCTTTTATGAAGGTCCTTGATGTACTCTTCCTTCCATCGGCGGCTAAAATCATAATGTAGACTTTTGATTCTTTCCCATCGATTTAATAAGGATAGCCACCCCTGGCTCAGGTATGGCCAGAATGGGCTCTCCTTTGAGAAAATGCCCTTGAGTTAAGGCTGTGAAGTCGGAGGGATCTTGCGAGAGTGTTGTGAGTGGCCGTGAATTGAGAACGCCTTCAATTCGGATTAATAAGGTAGTGAATTCTTCATAATTGAATTTATAATTTCCAGCTACTCTTTTGAAATGGGATTTGAAGCTTTTTACAGCTGATTTCCATAAATCACCCATATGAGGAGCGCTTGGGGGAATAAAAGGGGAGCCAATTATTGCCTTGTGGAGCATACTTCTGAACATTTTCAGGTGATACTTGTTTAATAAAATCCACAAACTGTTTTTCAGTGGCTCTTTGGGCTCAAATGAAGGTTTTGCCGTTATCGCTCATTAGTTTTGAGGGGAAGCCGCGTCGTCCGACTAAGCGAGCAAATGCCGCGAGAAAAGCCTTCTTAGTCAGATTCGAACAAAGCTCGAGGTACACTGCTTTTGTCGTAAATCAGACAAAGATAGCCACATAGCTTTTCATTATGGTGGGCGACCTTAGCATGGACGCCTTTATTTGAAAAGGCCCAACAAAATCGACACCTGTAATTGTGAAAGGCAGAGCGAAGTTGCAGCGTTGCGGTGGAAGTGCTGCCATAATCTGCGTTCGCAACTTCTGGTTATGCAGAGTGCAGATCTTGCACATGAATATGCATTTTTTTATTTGGGGCTTAAGTTGGGGAATATAGAACTCTCGCGGACTATTTGTTGCATTAGGCGATGTTCCGCGTGAAGCATAAGGATGTGGATATAACTGAGGAGTAAAGTGGCAAGTTGAGATTTCGCTGGTATGATGAGAGAGTGGCGTTCGTTATACGTGAGGCTTGAATTGGCAAGCCGACCATTCGCACGAAGCAGACCTTTCGTGTCTAGGAATGGGCTAAGAACTAAGATTAAACTCCTTTTGTCAATGGGTTTTGATTCTCTTAATAGTGTTATATCGCGGCTGAAGTAGCGCATTTGAGTTGATGCGATTAGAGCGAACTTTATCATATAGGCGATTACTCTGAGGGCTCGGGAGAACGATGAAAATCGCTCAAGGATCTCAGTATCCTCCAAGGTCCTGTGCGCAAGGAGTCGATTTTTTGACTTTCTGGGGCTATTATATTGCGCACGGGCGATTGTGGCCAAGAATCGGGAGATTCTGTTAACCATCGGGGACTATTCCACCAGAGGGTAGTGGTGGTAAGGTGCAGCGGTTTGGATAGATCAATTTCAGAATCGGTCAAAGATGTAAACTATGTTTCTTCAGGTTTAAATGGATCTGCACCATGGAAGCTTATATTGGGAGTAGTAGCGCGCCACAGAGCTCAAGTCGAGGTAGACTTAGCATTTTTAGAGGAGCCACCTTTGCTTTTGCTACTAATAAGTGGCTTGTGGTCGTGGTACCGCTTTGTGTGCGCACAAAGATAGTTGCACAGTATGCCTTCTCAGAGGCATCACAGAAGCCGTGTAATTCGACTTTGTGCTTGGGGAAATAGTTTACCCATCGTGGGATTTGTATCTGGGAAATGTCTTCCAGATTGTCTTCGAACTGGGACCATTTTTCTAAGCGAAGAGGTTTCACTTGTTCGTCCCAGTCGGTTCCGTCTAGCCATAATTCTTGTATCAAGATTTTCGCTTGTATCATAATTGGCGAAAGCCATCCTGCGGGGTCGAAAAATTTTGACACAGAAATTTGGCGTTTTGTTATGGCGGATAATGCTGATATTGACTCTGTAGTGTATGAAAACTGGTCAGATATCGCATTCCATTGGATCCCCAGAGTTTTTGTTGTACTTACCTTTTCGAATTTAAGAAAATTAGTGTCCAACGTTTGAGCAGCGTGGTACTAGCACAAGTGACACAAGCCCTCAAAACCGCAGGATTTTTGTTAAAAAAGATAACAGTGAACCACCCTAATATCTTAAAGGACATACCTAATGCTACATACCTAATGGCCTTTAAGATATTAGGGTGGTTCGCTGTTATCTTTTTTAACGAAAATCCTGCGGTTTTGAGGGCTTGTGTCACTTGTGCTAGTGACTCCTATGCTTGTGAAAGACTGTGACTTCCAGACAGAATATCGTCTACACACGTTTGAGTTTTTAACACCCCGGTTGCCAGAGGAAATTCTGACTTAGTGTTTTCTGCCAATTCGTGCAGTGTTCGAATGGCTAGATATGGTGCACAGTTGACGCCAAAGGTAACTGTTTCTAATTTATAGTCGCGGAGTGGACTATTCGGAGATTTTCGGAAAATAATTCGCTGAAAATCTTGGTTTTCTTTATGTACGACTATTTGTCGATATATTTTTCCATCGTTCCCATTGAATACGTATTTGAATATACGTCAATTTAATATAGGAGCATTAAATCTGGTTGGAGCGTGGGTCTCGTAAATAGAATATCATTTAGGAAATTCCCTGAGCTAGCGGATCTTAAGGCATTGAAGACAACTCTTACTCTGTCTGGCTTTACTACTGCATGATGCGGCAAGTAAAATGAGTAGTATTTGCCGTTGATGATGTTTTCGCATGGGCTTACTTCCTCCATGTGGTCTAAATGGAGGTATTCTTCTAACACGCCATCGTATTCTGGCTTAAGCTCACCTTGCTGATATTGATATCACCTTTTTTAAGTAAGTTTTTTTCCATTCTTAAAAACTGCTGTATTGCAGAGGAGCGAGAGTGACCTAAGGCTAGTGTGTTAGGAAATTGTTGTTTTAGTGGTAAGACGTACCGACCATTATCTGATCTAGTAGTTGTGGCTTTGTAAAAATCTTCACAATACTAATCTTCAGGGGTTGTGATTGATATGGAGGGGAGCTCTTGTAACTCTCAAAATTTCTTTAATTGTGAATTGTATTATTGTATATTGTATAATGGTATTCGTAACTAGTCCACTTAGGATCCAACCAAAAATAGTATTTTATGCCAATAGTGTATTTGAAATTTTCTCAATACCCTCGAGTATTATCTGTGGTATGAGATCGCTGCCAAATAAAAGATCTATTTGAGCAGGAGTGTTGCAGTTGGGATCTGCTAGCTTTAGGTGTGAAAACTTTTGCCAATGCGTGCTATTTATGTGATAGCTTGGAAGCACGTTTGTTAGTTGCGGTAAGACAATAGCTTCTGCTTTAATGCGCTTATCCGCTTTAGGTGAAGTAAGGTAATGGGGACAGATTTTGTTTGAGTTTTGGACTACTCTTCCGCCATTCCCGTGATTTCAAAATTGGCTAGTTTTGTTGGCAGTTGTAGCTTGTTTTGAGCCCTAGACGCTATAAATGATCGTTGTGATGTGGGTAGTAGTACTCTACTTTTATTTTCGCTGTGAAGCGTTTGAGCAGCATGGTGCTTCTTGGCAATTTTCGGGATTTTGCACTTCGGGATTGGCTGTTGCAACTAAACCCGTGGCTCTTTTCATATTTGCGCTGTTTATGGGTGAGCTGGAAAATGTGCTGTAATGCAGAATTGAATAATGTCGTTTATGACAATAAACGCAATTAAATTTGCTTTTGCACTCTGTAAGTGTGTGCACATGTGACAAACATTTTGGTTTTTACAAAAAAGTTTCGGTCGAGAGTTGACCTTATGACTCCTGTACTCAGTTCGCATGACGTTTGTTTATACTGTTCGGAGGTGAACCATTGATTTTTAAAAAAGATATTTAAATTGTTGTTGCTACTTGCTTGGGGTCTATTGAAGCTTATATTGAGGTCGTTTTGAACTTTTTTTAGTTCTAACTAGTTTTTTGTCTACCCTTTCTGCTATTTCGTATTAGGTAGTTAGGAAATCTTTCATTTGTTGCTACGTAGGGCATTTTATTCGTGATGAGCGCGTAATGCGGCTTTGCATACGTTTACCAGTATAGAGTCCCAGCTGTCTGTGGGAATATTCTGTGTCGATAAAATAGAAAAACAATTTGAAACAGTGGATTGAAGTTTGATAAATTGTTCACTTGTTTCTTTTTGAATTTTTGGCAAGTTCATTAATATCGATATTTGTTTATCGACCAATAGAAGGACGGCCATTATTTATAATCTCCATGAAAAATTTCTGTCACAGGCGGGTGCCTTGAGATGGATGCCTGAATTTGCCTCTTGACTTTGTATTTGTGGCAGCTCTACTCTCGGTTGTGGAGTAGGTGCAATTGCTTTAATTAATTTTAATTGGTCAGAAATCATTGCTTTTGTTTCTCGAACTGGTCTAAGCAGTTTTCGTATTTGGGGTAAGCCGAAGATTTGAAATTTTCCGGTAAATCTGATTCGTCAGATTCTACGATTGCGTCATATGCAACGTGTCCAGAAATTGTCAAGATTTTCTTTTTTGATTTCTAATACCGATTCAGAATTGTCCTGAATCGGCGAAGATGAAAATTGAGTACAGTATCGTATTAGGCTGTCACTCTCGGAAATAAATTTGGTGAAATATCTTGCACCCTTTTTTGCTTTGTAGCACATACCTTTGTGCGTGTAGCTCCTGCAGGTGTACATGGACTTTGTTCATCACAAAAAATTTTTGTAACTTTTAAGTGTTGAACTAAAAGTTTCTCAGTAAAAATATTTGCCAATGTGGACTTTGAAGCGAAGTACGCATGTATGTTTGTATACCTGCGCCGGTATGTATGTATAAATGCGCGTGTATATATGTACGCAGTGCGAAAAGACCGCGAAAAGGAGAATAATTGACCGCAGGTATTCTCGTAAAATTTATGTATATATGTATGTATATCAATTGTTAGTTATATATGTATGTTTGTATGTTTTCATACATATAGTAATGCTGCAAACGGAGGTTTTCTCCTAATATAGTATGTATATATATACATATGTTAAACATAATATGTATATGTATGTATCATAAATTGGATTGGCCTGGCCTTTATGTATGTATGTTTAAATTTATCTTTTTTTGTTTTTTGATTTGCCTTTGCTGTTTGTACGCAATCCTGCTTATACTTGATAAGGGGTATTGCGGGAAATAGTTGTATATTTGGATTTTACCGGAAAATAAACCGAAATATTGAAACAGTTTGGTAACCGTTATTTTTTGTTATTGCTTCTATTAAGACGGACTTATGTAATAAATAAACCGCAAAAGCATAAATTTTAACATACATACAAGGTTCGTTCCAAAGTAAACAGTAAAAAAGTAACAAAGTAAACTCTAGTGGCGCCATCTATATGTCGACTAGTGCGTTAGAATCTGCTATCCTTTATCGACTTCCAGTAAATATTTCATGACATTTCAGCTATTGGAAGTGAAGTCATTGCGTTTTAAGTGTCAGTATGTTTTTGTCATCTATGAGAAAATGAGCTTCGAACAAAGAGCCAACATTAAATTTTGTTTCAAAATTGGTAAAACTTTTACCGAAACGTTTCAATTGATAAAACAAGTTTATGGCGATGATTGTCTATCCCGTAGCAGAGTGCACGAGTGGTTTCAACGTTTTCAAAGTGGTCGTGAGGACATAAATGAGAAATGAGCCGAAACCCAAAAAATCGCGGCTGGAGAAGTCAAAAGTGAAGACAATGCTGATTTGTTTTTATGATGGGTATTGTCCACAAAGAATTTGTTCCACCCGGCCAAAACGTTAATGCGGTATTCTACCTTGGAGTTTTGAAGCGTTTGGTGCGAAGATGGAGGTTGGCGTTTGTTGCACGATAGTGCGCCGTCTCATCGATCGACGCTTGTGGCCGAATCACATTTTAACAATCAACCACTCCCCGTATTCACCTGAAATGGCACCGTGCGACTTCTACCTTTCAAAAGGCTTGCACCGGCATACTGGCGGCCATACCGGGCAACGAGCTAAAACACTCGTTCGACATGCTTTTGGACCGTGTAAAAAGCTGTATTAAAGCAGAAGGAGACTATTTTGAACAAAATTAATTTTTTTGTCGATAAAACCATTTGTTCTGTCTTTTTTGTTTTTAAAAGTCCTGTTTACTTTGGAACACACCTTGTATATTAGAAAATATACAATACTAAGAGGAATTTATACGACTCACTTTGGGGTCCGCCAAGGGGTTTTGGGGGCAATTTATATATGTGCTTGTGCGTGTGCCTTTCGTTCTGTTGCAAAGTCCTTTGCTGCTTTGTTGCGGTGGGTGACTTTGGTGAGCTGGTGTGGTTGTTGTTGTTTGCTGTTGAGGTTTTTGTTTTAATTCGCGCTCGTTCTGTATGGTTATGTATGTATTTTGTTGAAATTCGCGCCCGTACGTAATTAGGGATTATTTCGCGCACGTTGGTGGTTTTTTCTTGCTTCTTTTATGTATATATGTTTGTGTCACTCCACACTTCACTCACTTTCTTCCGTTTTTTTTTTGTTTTCCTTTGAAAATAACTCTTTTTTTCTGTTTTTATTTTCTATGTGTATAAGTATGGAACTCCACTGCACAGCACTTTTCAGTCCCTTGTATATATATATTCTTTTTTCCTCTGTTTTTTTTTTGTGTTATTGTTTGTATGTGGATATATGTGTTATTCCGCTGCACTGCACAGCACTTTGTTTCTGTTTTTTTTTGTTTCGTTTTCGTTTTTGTGTATTAAATGTTAGACACTTAACAGCACTTTTCTTTTTTCGTTAAGTTTTTTTCACTCCATAGTGCCGCTCACTATGGCTCGAAGGACCATGAATACTACACTAGTTTGCACTCACCGTTTTAAATGCGTTCGGTACAAGCACAACAAATGAAAATAGATGCGAAATGATATGTAGGTTATATGGCGGTATCCGCTATGTTTATTAAACCAAATGTAAAAATAAATAAATATCTGTATACTCGGGCGAAAAGTTACTACGGTCGGCGTACGTCTGAACAGCTCGAGTTGCGAACGAAAAAGCAGGGCTCTGGTCCGTTTTGATTGTTGGGTTGTGTAGAGTTGTGGTGTGATGTGATGTGTACGTGTGGGTGGTCTGAGTGGTGTGATGTCTGCGTGTGCGTGTGTTAGTGGATGGAGTGTTCTTGTGGATTGTGGTGTATTGTATGGAAGGGGGAGGCGTAGCCCATCTATCCGTTGTGCTTTGTTTTAAAGGATCTGTTTTGTAGGTTTAAGTCCAAGTCATGGTGAGTCTGACATTTGCAATTTCTAATGAAATTGGTAATTTGAGGACACAAAAACTTTCGAATTGCGTCACTTAAAGTATTTTATTTTGATATTTAGATAATAAATATTCTCTTTGTTTATAGCGCGCAGCAATTTACTTGGTTTGGCTGGCAAGGTTGCCAATTCAATATTATATAAAGCTAAATGAGTGATAATAATAATAAATAAAATTACACGTTACTACATTTTATTTTGTTTTATTTCTAAAGTGAAAGACCACGTCTTTACAATTTAAAGTTTGCTTATATGTGCTTTTTTTGAGTATAATAATTTAAGGCAACTACTAGTTTTTATGTATCCACTTTGAAAATTTTAAACAAATTTTGAAGGGATGGGTATTCCTGGTCAAATGCTAAATGAATGATATTTATAATAAATAAAATTACACCTTACTACTTTTTATTTTCTTTTAGGCCTAAAGTGAAACGGGAAATACCACCTCTTTACAATTTAAAGTTTGCTTATGTGGGCCCAAAAGATGCTGAAAACAAACTAAAAACACGTTTGAATAAGCTGGGCGGCGAAATTATATCAAAACTATCTGAAAATACTGTTGCCGTGTTTTCATCAAAACATGAAGTAGAACATATGGGAAGACGCATGAAAAAGGCGAAAGATCTTGGTATTCATATTATTCCAATAGATTTCCTAGATTTGGTTGAAAGCAATCCTACAAACGCAATTAATTATATCAGTAGCACTACTCTTTGCGGTTGGGGAACTGATCCAAACTCTCGTATAGTGCAAGAAGATACGAAAAAGTCAAAAAGTATTTATACTAAATCTGTCGCAAAATCAATGACGTTAAAGATCAAAGACGGGTCGGCCGTAGATCCCGAAAGTGGCTTACAAGACGTCGCTCATGTTTTGTTGGATAAAAATTACAAGTATAGTGTTGTCCTCGGCTTAACAGATATTCAACGGAATAAAAACTCTTACTATAAATTGCAACTTTTGGAAAGTGATTCGAAGAATAAGTAAGATACACAGATTATATTGCTATAGTTGCTTATCGTATGAATTTAAAACAACTTGCAGTATTTTTGCTAACACTTGAACTCACAAAGATATGGTAGAAGGAAATAATTATTATAGCCACTACAAGTATTGTAATCTTTGTCATTTTTAATATACATACATATGTATACATCGAAGCATTTGTAAAATGTATATTCTTCTCTATTACAGATACTGGGTTTTTAGATCTTGGGGCCGAATCGGCACTACTATTGGTGATCAAAAATTGGAAAATTTCGAAAACCTGTACGAAGCCGAACAATCATTTCTTCATGTTTACCATGATAAAACTGGAAATGATTTCACTAACCGCGAAAATTTTGTTAAGGTTTGAAATATTTTCATATTATATTGTTTTTCATGTTTTATTTATTATATTTTCATATATTATTTAAATTTAACGAAACTAACATAAATACTTGTACTTAGGTAATAAAGTTCAAAAATATATATTTTATGTCCTAAAATAACCGGGCAATCTACTTAATAATGTATAAAAAATCATAACTTAGGTAAAAATATTTAAGCAATTTTAATTTATTTTTTGTTTTTTTTTGTTTTTTAGGTTCCTGGCCGTATGTACCCAATCGAAATAGACTATGAGGAGCAAACAGCTATATGTCCAGAAAATTGTAACATCAAATCAAAGTTAAATGAATCTGTTCAAAGCCTAATTAAAGTTTTATTTGACGTTGACAATATGAAAAAAACAATGATGATGTTCGACCTCGATATGGAAAAAATGCCGTTAGGCAAATTAAGTCAGAAGCAAATTCAGTCTGCTTATAAAGTGCTTTCTGAGATTTATGATCTTATACAGCAGAATGGGAAAAAATTGAAGTTTATTGATGCCACTAATCGGTTTTACACCTTAATCCCACATAACTTTGGTGTTCAAAACCCTACAATTTTAGATAATATTGAGCTAGTTGAGAAGCACAGGCAAGTCCTCGATTCTCTCTTGGAAATTGAATGTGCTTACAGTATGTTACAAGCAGAAAATAAAGAAGAAAATGTGAATCCTTTAGATAAACATTATCAGCAACTAAAAACAAAGCTTGATCCCATTGATAAAAATTCAAAAGAATACAAAATACTTGAAAAATACGTACAAAATACACATGCTGAAACTCATAAAATGTATAAACTGGAAGTCGTTGATATATTTAAAGTGGTTCGACAGGGTGAAAATAGACGTTATAAGCCCTTCAAAAAACTTGAAAATCGGAAACTACTATGGCATGGTTCTCGCCTTACTAACTTTGCTGGAATTTTGTCGCATGGTTTGAAAATCGCACCACCTGAGGCACCGGTTACAGGTTATATGTTCGGCAAGGGAATATACTTCGCAGATATGGTTTCAAAATCTGCAAATTATTGTTGTACCACTGCTCAAGACTCCACCGGACTAATGCTTCTCTCCGAGGTAGCACTTGGTAACATGTTGGAATGTACTTCATCAAAATACATAACTAAGCTACAATCTAACAAACATAGTACTTTAGGTCGTGGACGGACCATGCCTGACCCAAAAGATTCTTATAAAAGAGAGGATGGCGTAGAGATTCCACTTGGCAAACCGATTACAAATACCAACCTTAAAACATCTCTTCTTTACAACGAATATATTGTATACGATGTTGCTCAAGTGAATATTCAATATCTTTTCCGTATGAATTTTAAATACAATATCTGAGCAGAACAATACAACATCTATCCGTAATTTTTCCTAAATCCGTTATAAACCATTTAATAAATATTATAAATCACATTTTACATTGTTACATTGATAAAAACATTTAAGATTGTTCGCACAGCGAAAGAACCTGCTATAATATATTTTTTGTGTAGTCAGCCACTTTTATAGTCTTCTTGCTCCAAGACTTTATTTTGCAATAGTTATCATACTTACAATCAAATAATAAAAGATTGGGTTGAATTCTATTCATAATGAAAAAACTATTTCTATAGCTCATCTCATTCTATGCTGTGGACATAAGGGACACTTATAAAAATTAAAGTTCTATTTAAAAACAAAAGTTTAATTATACATTTTTTAACGTTATTTAATTTTTGATGTATTTTAATTATTTAGTATTTGGTTCTTAAGTTTTTATTAGGTATAACGGCCTGACAATAGCGAGACATAGGTTCATCGAGTTTTTGGCATGTGGCCTGGCGAATAGCTTCTCATACTTCCCTTACCAGTGACCAGGCGACATTTTTAATGTTTTTACTCCTTTACTAGGCTACTTTTAACTCTCATCAAAACTTCTCAATTTGATTTAAATCCGGCGATTAAGCTTCCAGCTTAAAGTGCTAATGTTATCTGAGAAGAATATTTTTTTTTTACCCACTTTTATTGTCATTTTCTTGCTGCAACACCCCTGACTCTCTACTTACTTTACTTTAAATATTGCAATCAGAAGCTGGATGGATGATGGACGTATACAATAGTAAGAAAAGCATCCCCAAACCATGATGAATCCTCCTTTTTATTTAATGGTTTTAAATGTGTATTGTCGTTTGAAAGCAGAGTTCATTGGTCTTCGGACATGTTGTGCACCACAGTCGGAATAAAAAATATAATATTTAGATTAAACTGACCATAGTATATTACGCAAAAAGTTGTATTTTAGAAACATTTTGTTTTGACAGATAAGGTAATTTCCTCGTATTTTTCAATTTTTTTTGCATAAAGCTTTTTGCGAGTAGTGGAAGTATAACCTTTAAGAAAACTCGAGCTTTATTTCTTTTGAAGATGCAAAGGGGGTTTTTTCCACAAATCGGACTATATATTTTTCAATAACAGGTAAAATTTTTTTTTTCGTCCAAGGGTTTTCAAGGTAAAAAAAAGAATTTTTTTCTTAAATATGGATTGAGTAATTTTTTTCGGACCTTTTGTACATTATTGAGCTCACTTTCGACAATATAGGTTAATTTTTTTATGCAGGAATATTGAAGCACAAGCCGGTAAGAGCTTCTCCTAGAACGTCTTGAGAAAACAACAATTTGCGGTGTTAACCATAACTCGGCTAGAAATTATCTGAAAAAAAACCAAAAAAAAAAAAAAGTGTATGTCAAAAAAGTGTATAAAGTTTGAAATGAATCGGTCAAGTAGTTTTGTAATGACAGTGAACACGGACTTTGAAAAAGTAGTTTTGAGAAAAACGCGTCTAAAGTTTATGAACTATTGGTTGGAGCGTTAAAGGCCAGGAGATTAATAAGATAATAACTTTAGGAATATTGCTTCTTTCGACCTAAAATTTTAAGGATTTCTTGAAATGTTAAACCATAAGATAAGAGAAAAAAAATCGATTTTTCGAAAGAAAAAACCCTAGCCCCCCTTACTAACAGTTTTTTTTGCTTTTTTAACATCCCAGCAAAAAATATGTTACTAATTTCTGATAAATTTTTTCATTTCAAAGCAAAAAAAAAAAAATGCAAATGTTTTAACTCTCTAATGCTGGTTTCTAAAATATTGAGCAAAAATTCTAAAAATTTTTTTTTTGGTAAGTTTGAGCCTCTGATTCCGAAAAAATAGGTTGCAAGTCCATCGTCTACCTTCTATCTAATAATACATAAATGAGTACCTAGAGACACTCTTGGGGCTTTAGCTTTACAATCATAGTAAATTTTTAGGCACTTCAGATTATTGACTTTATTAAAAACAGTTCGGTATAATTACAATTTCATATGAGAATTCAGAAACATGTTATTTATTTTCAGTAATGATAATCTAAAAAACAATTTTTATAGTTTGAACAGCATAAATAAAGCTAACATCTAGAACAAAAACATTGCGTTTGTGATATTTTGCGGTGCTTGCACAATCTTGCCAGACAGGATGATGACTGATGTTATCATATATGATATCTGCAACAGAATGAACAGTTTTGCAGCGAAATTTTGACGCACTTGGTTGTAGGGAACTTGCTGTGGGTGTTCTACTTGGCCGCCCAACTGACTGCTTTGCTTTATAGGCTACCAGGTCTGCAGCGATGCCTTCCCGAAATTCCGGTAACTGAATAAATTTTCAGCCATTCGTTTCTAAATGCGCGTTAAGGTCATAATCGTACTGTCGCATCTCTGGTTTTTGCTATTATATGGTAACGTCGCATGAGCCCGTCCGTTAAATCGACGCCACCCATATGACAGTTGGAATATGTAAGAGATGACAATTACGACAGCAGTGTTGCAATTTTGTCAAAGTATCACGTTCGCG